TACCTGGATGCCTGGACGCGGGGCTCGATCTTACAACCCTGAGATCATGACCTGCACCGAAACCAAGAGCCAGATGGTCAACCGACTGCACCACCCAGAGGCTCCTTCTAAGACTTCATCTTTAGGGGGCGCCTGAGTGGCTCAGTCACTAAGCATCTGCCTTCGGCTCAGGTCATGATCCCGGGGTCCTGGGATCGAGCCCCACATCGGGCTCCTTGCTCAGCGGGAAGGCTGCTTCTCCCTCTCCCACTCCCCCTGCTTGTGTTCCCTCTCTGGCTGTCTCTCTCTGTCAAATAAATAAATAAATTCTTTAAAAAATAAATGAATAAAAAGACTTCATCTTTGGGACTTTTCTCCTGAGACAGGGTGCCCTCTGGAATTGAGCAAGACGTCAGCTTTTCCTCTACCTTTCCTCTTTAGCCTGACACGCTCCCACTCAGCTGACTAGAAGGAGGCTCTCTCTTCTGTGGGGTCTCAAGAAAGGTCTTAGTCTAAGTGGAAGGTAGAGATGAACATGGAAGCAGTTGCACACCACCCCCTCCAAAAATGGTGCCTTCCAAAAAAAGGCACATCCTCCAAAATAGTGCCTTTCCAGCCATTTTTAAGGTAATAGATATTGGCAAGATATGATGAAAGCTGTTAGCACAGTGGTTCTTAACCTGGAGGTGGAGGTGGGGGCGGTCACAGACCTGCTCTGTGATGACCCCGATAAAAACCATGGCCCCTCTCATCAGCAAAGTCCATATGTGCGTGCGCACACCAGTGCAGGGGCTGGCCTCAGTGGCTGGCACATCAGTGAACTCTGGCTTCAGACGCCCTACGCTTTGGAGGGAGAAATGTGAAAGTGGGATCGGGAGTCAAGGACAAAGGAAACCCACGAGTGGCACTTTGTTTTTGGTGGTCTCGACCCACCAGTCCACGGCGAAGATCCCGTGATTCCCCACCCCCACTGCCTGACCCTGTTCTCTGGTTCATTCCCCCTGGTGACAGATCTAGTCTGGGAGCCACTAAAGGGACATAGGACACCACTTGACCCTGTTTATCTCATCCACCTGGCCTTCCCGGGCTGTCTCCCTGGGTTACCTCCTGAGTTCCACCCTTTATGCCAATGGGACTCTGAGCTTTTCCAGACACTGTGGAAGCCAGGCCTTTGGAGAGACATTTCCGTCCTCCCTCACACTCACAGGTAGGCTCGACAGGTCACCCAGCGCCCCTCCACTACACTCTCGCAAGGCTGCCTGGGAAAGCCGGCTTCTCTGATGGCTCCTGGGCCTCCTTGTCCGATCCAGGGGCCTCTCCCTTCCCATTGCACTGCTCAGCCCAGCCCTCTGATCAAGCCCCAGGCTTATTATATGAATATTTGCATACCTAAAACCTACATTGACATTTTATAACTTAGGCTCCTGGGAAACAGGTCAGAGTCCAGCCCCAGTATACTAGAAAGAAGCATTTACCTGGGCACCACCCCCAAGGTGTGTTGTGGGGGGTGGGGTACCAGAGAGTATGTTGTGCTTCATCAGCAAAGCCATGTGTCCAAGAGGGGACTGTGAACATCCTTAATCTGGGTGAGTTCACATGTGTGTCCGCGTCCTGGCTCAGGAGAGTCCTCCAGCCAGCCTGTTGTGTGTTCCCTCAATGAAGAGTCTCTGTGACAAAATGTCTGTTTGCGGTGCCCTCAGTCTGTTGAGTGGACCCTTGGGATAGATGTGTATTTGCAAGGCCTCAATTTCCCTATTTGTAAAGTGGACAAGACCCCTCACCGGACCCCTGTGAAAGTTGCATGAGTTAATCAAGTCAAGCACTGGACATGCTCAGGAAATGTTGCTTATCATGATGGGATTTCCAACAGAAACCTCCGGCCCATCTATTCCTTCCTTTCCCTAACTATCTCAAGCCCTGGAAGAGGCTTGAATGTTCCCCCTGGAGATGTCGCTGCTCTGAGCCTGGGTGTTGAATCAGAGGCCAGGTGACGGCAGGGGCAACAGCAGCGAGCCGCATTTTTCTCTCACTCAGCCAGCATGCTGAGCCAGAGCCGGAGGAAGAGCAGGAGGAGGGGCGTGGCTCTCAGCTGGGACCCCGGATGGGGAATAGAAAGGCAACACTTACTCTCCAGAGAGCCAGGGGCCTTCCAGAGAAATGCTAAAGCTCAGAACCACTGAGAGCCCCCACCTGGAGTGCCCGCTCTGGGACCCACAGGAAACTTCTTCATTGTCATGGAGACTACATCAGAGCTGCTTTCCTGGAAGAATCCTCCGTCCTCCTCCCCCACTTCTTTTGGCCTTGAGACACAAGCTCCTCCCTAAGCTGGTTCCATCCAGCCCAAAGCTGGGATTTGCTGGGGCTTGTCTCTCTCTTGCTGTGCGCAGGGTTCCTGCTAAACTCGATTAGTTTGGTCTTTTGCACCTATTTACTGAACTAGTATTTCAAGGGACTCTCCTAAGCATGAAACAGCCGGGGAAGATTTTAGGAGACAAAGAGACCTCCTCCTCAGGACCTGGAGAGCTCTCCAAACTTAGGAATGACCATGATGCAGAATGAAGGACATCTACAACAGAGATATAGGCACGAATGTTGGGGGGTCCTTTAGGAACTGACTCAGGTTATCTGGAAGGCTTCTTGGAGGAGAGGGGCAATAGACATGAGCCTCAAAGAATAGTTCCTCAGAGAAGAGAGAGAAGTTTGTTTTCATCTGCCCACGGTGATCTCCTGGAATGAACACTAAATAAAATAAATAGCCCTAGATGCTAGAGGTTTGGTGTTCAAGTCCCAGTTCTAATCTTGAGCAGCTTAAAGAGCTTACCGGTATCATTTCCTTCTCTGAAATGCCACTGCCTCATCTGTAAAGTGGAAGTGTTAGATTAGACAAATTTCGTGGTTTGTTTATTACACAAACTCTCCGGCCAACGTGGGGTCCAAACTCACAACCCAGAGATCAAGAAAGAGCGCCATGCTCTACCGGCGGAGGCCAGGCACCCCAGGTTAGATGAATTTTGAAAGTAGCCCCAAGTGGCCTGGGGTTCAGCTAGTCTCTAGTGTGTATCATAAGTAGGCAGGGGGCAAAACTGGGCTCTCCTCAAAGGAGTGTATGGACTGTAGACCCAGAGATTGTCTCAGAAAAAAGGGCCTGGGGGACTTCATGTACTGTGTGCCCCCATGGCTACAGCCTAAACAGCCCAGCTCTTACTGGGGGGTGGGGGGGGTCTGTCTCAGTCACAGCTGCCTGCCTGGCACCCAGCACTGTGTCTGGCACAATTAATGTTTATCCAGTGAATTGGCGAATGATTTAAGGGACCAGAGCCTATGACCAGCTTTTTGGCTACCCTGAAACCAGTCCTACCCCCAGGTCATCAGATCCCTAAGACCCTATGTTTGCTCCCAGGATTAAGAGGAAAGATGGCTGAGAGGCAACTGCACTTTCAGAGGTCCATGCCGGGGCCTCTGGTTTCTGCTGCAATCAACAGAAAGTGGGTCACACAACAGCTCTGCAGAGCAGACCCTTGAGGAAAAGCCTAGATTCCGTGCTAACTTATTGAGGGCCTACTGTGTAGCAGTTGTTGTCACAAAGCCTTAATTCATTTAACTGTCGCCTTAAACGGCTGTACAGGATAATGTGGAAGATTGGGGGCTGTCAACCCCAGCTGCGCTGAGTTACTGCAGCCAAGTCATCACCCCTCACTGAGTATTCATTCTCAATCTCTGTAAAATGGAAACAATGGAATCACTTCGCCAGGTTATGGGCATGAAATGAGCACGTGGAAGCGGAGCGCTTCATAAATGCTAGTTATTATTGTTCCTCTGGGCACAAGTCCGCTCGCCTCCCCGCGGGGCGCACACACAGACATGTTCACACTCCCACGTACACGCAGATGCAGAGACGTGTGCAGACGCCAGCCGGGCCAGCCCGAGGAGCTCGCCGAGCCTCACACCCAGGGACACCGCGGAGCCCCGCAAGGAAGCCGTCGGGTCCTCGGCTTCGCTCCTTTTCTCTCAGCTCTTTATGAATGAACTCCGGCCGCTGAGGAGTTTATTTTTTTATGAATGGGAGCCCGAGCCGTGAATGAAACCGGGAGCCAGCCCCCGCGTTCTGATTGGCCCCCGCGTCTGGGAAACTCCGCCCTCCACAGCTCGGCTGGGCGAGTCTCCGGATTGGCGGGCGTGCCCGGCCCTGGGGTTTCATTCACAAAAGTCAATGAAACAAAGGGAACGGGGTGGGGGGGGGTAAGAGAGCCGAGGCCCAGGCGAAGGAAATGCACCAATCAGCGACTCCCCCGGGCTCACAACTGTCGGCGGCGCCAGGAAAACAAGCCGGTGCGCGGGGGACCCGGGGCCGGGGCTGCCTCGCTCCGGCCTAGCCCCGCGGCCCTCGGTGCGGCCCCGGGGCAAGCTCGCGACCCCGCGCGGCTCCAGCTCAGACGCCCCGGCCTCAGGTGAGGCTGCGGGAGGGGGAGGGAGGGAGAGCGTCTATGACTCCTCGCCTCGCCTCCAACACACACTGCACTCTCTAACCACCGCCTCCGCAGATCCTAGGGCGGGGGGGGGGTGGGAGGCGCCGGGATTCGGGGTTGGAGGGGGTGCGGGAGTTGTGGGCGTGCGAACCGTGCGCGCCTCGCCCGCTCCTCCGCGCTCGAGCGCACACACACACACACACACACACACACACACACACACACACGTCTTATGTAACCGAGCTTGGGCAGAGCAGGGCTGCAGAAAGCAGCCGAAACGGCGAGCCCGGCTCCCAGGAGCAGGTGGGACCTCCTTTGGCGGGAGGGGAGTGGTGGCGGCGCTCAGCTCGGCAGGCGGAAACCTCCCCATCGTCTGAGTGAGTCGGAGAAGTTTTGCTGTTGGACCCAGAGCCTCGGGACTGCCCCTCCCTGTTGCCCTTACCCACCCCCACCCCGCTGCCTTCCCAGGACGGTGTGCGAACGCAGGCCCCCCCTCCCCTCCAGGTCTCTGCCCCCGCGCGGGGCCCGGGCTGTGCGGCCGGAGGGAGCGGCCGGATGGAGCGGAGGATGAAAGGCGGATACTTGGACCAGCAAGTGCCCTACACCTTCTGCAGCGTGAGCGCCGCGCCGGCCTCCACTCCCGCCCCCGCCCTGCACCCCGCCCTACAGCCCCTTCCCCGCGGCCCCCACGGGGCCCAGCGCTGCCCGGTCCCTGTGTCACCCCGGGACCCCAGCCCCGCCCCCCCAGACCGGGCGGCCTCAGGGTGACCCGGGGGCGTTCTTCCCCTTCCCCGCAGAAATCGCCCGGAAATGGGAGCTTGCGCGAAGCGCTGATGGTCCCGCAGGGGAAGCTCATGGACCCGGGCTCCCTGCCGCCCCCCGACTCCGAAGGTAAAGAGCCCGCGAGACAAACCGTGACCCCCCTCACCTCACACACCCCGAAGGCTGATCCTGGAGCCCCCACCCTGTTCTCCGAAAGACTCCCCTCCAAGGATCTCTGATCATTCTTGGGCCCGTACAACCAAGAGGGGGGCCGGTCACCACCCACCTCGCGAGGGCTCCCTCCCTCTTACCATCTCCTCCACCTCACCTCCAATTCCATTATTCACCCCCTCAGATCTCTTCCAGGATCTCAGTCACTTCCAGGAGACGTGGCTTGCTGAAGGTGAGTAGTTTTGTGACCTTTTCTATTATTGGGGCGGGGGATGCTCTCTACCCCTGATATTCCAACCTAACCCACTTCTCCTCTCTCCCTGCCTCAAGGAACTCTCCAAAGACACCCCCCCCCCCAAGTCCCCTTACTCCCCGCTCTCTCCAGCGCCCATTGTGGACACTTATATTGATATTTATTTTCTCTGCCCTGAGCCAGGCTTGTGTAACTAGGCCTGGGGATGAATCAGACCATTGTGTGGGGTATTTGCTTATTTGAATGGAACTTGGCCCCAGGCCCGTTTTCCTGGTTGAAATTTTCATTTGCAAAGTTTGTTTGGCAGCAGCCGCCAGGCCGAGGTGTGTGTTGGTGTGGTGGGGGGGGGGGCGGGGGGGGGGGAAGGGACGGAGGATGAGGAGAAAGGATTAATTTGTAACCTATCTTCAGGAGTTGCCAAAACATTGATTTTTGCCCCCGGGGTTTCTCTTCCCAACCCCCAGCGCTAAACAATTTATTGTCTGAGCCAAAAACACAACAAAAGTTTAAATAATTCTTTTTTGCAGCACTTTGGCAGAGAGGGCCCAGGGCTTCCCCCACAAATAGCCTTGATTGTAATTCTGATGGCAAGTGATCCTCCCTCCCCCTTCTCTCCCGAATACCTCTGCCCCAGGCAAATTCCTCCTACTTTGGCTAGGGTGTTTGCTGGGGGGTTAACTTCGAGCTGGCAGGGATGGGGTCAGGAGCTGGGCCTCCTCTGGGTAGGGAGCTGTGTTCTCAGGGTCTTCTGGTTGGATCCCTTGGTGCATTTTTGTGGGGCCTCAGGGTGTCACTGGTGGAGTGGCAGGTAGAAGGCTTATGGTGTTTAGACAGTCTAAGAGGGAAGGGTTAATATCCCCATCTTCGGGTCCCTTTATTTTAACACTCTGAAAACCAAGAAACCACTACACTAGGAACCCCTTTCTCAGGGCTTTTCTTTAGGATTTCCCCATCCCTCCACCTGGGTATCTTTGGTGATTTTTTTAAACTCAAACCCCGCTCCTCTGGAACCATCTTTAAAAGCTTGAGGTAGAAGGGAAGAACCCCTGACTAGAACCCTGGAGTGAGACTAGACTATCTGTCTTGACTGCCATGGTATCCCCAAAAATATGTGTATTAACAAAACGGCTATTTAGCATAGAGCAAACGCTCAAGACATTTTGTGGAATTCGTGGCCAAACGGCTTGTATGGGTGCTGGAGGGATCCGGGGGTTCTGGGGAGGGAATGATACACACCTTCCCTGACTATTCAAGCCCCGTGCACCCAGCTCTGAGTTACAGGCAGAGCGTATGCCCAGTCGGCCCATCCTCCTTCTGAGGTTCCGGAGCTGGGCTGGAGCTGAAGAACGCAGGGGTGTCAGTTTCCACGGTCTCTCAAAGACTTCCTTTCCCAAGGCCTGATTTCTGTCTGGCTCGCCAGCCTTCTTGTCTGTCAGCGGAGGGTCCCTCTGCCCCCCCCTCCCCAGTGGGCAGCTCCCAGGGCTGTGATGTAGGGGTAGGCTCAGGGGTTGGCATTTTGGCAGCAGCTGATCCATTTGTGCCTGGGTCTGGAATGGGAAGGGGAGGGGAAAAAACGCTCTCTCACCCTTGGAAGCCCCACCCCTTGGCGGTGGGGGTCTAGAGAGTGTACGTGTGTCTATCTGCATGTGTCAGTGCGAGGGCGAGTGTGTGTGTTTCATGCTGCTGCCCTGGGAGTCCCTGTACATTTAAATCCAGTGGGTGGGGAGGTGGGGGTGGGGATCTCCTTGGTTCCCTCTCCTTCCTTCTGAGGGAGCAGCTCAGGTTCCCAGCTGGCGATGGATGGCCGGGCCTGAGAGGGGGATGCTGAGGCCACTCGCTGCTTCTCACTCTCTCTGCGGAGACAGATGCAGCTGCCGGGGCCCTGTCCCCCTGCACCATCCCAGCACCAGCCCAGCCTCCTCTCCTGCCTCTTCCCACCAGGTCAGTGACCCCCACAGCCCAGAGGGAGCTTTGGGGTGATGGGGGGGACTAGCTTCTTTGGAAGCTTGCCAGTGGTGGGGTACATCAGGAGGAATGGGGGCCGGAACCCAACCTCCCCACTGCAAGTTTGATTTTTTTTTTTCTTTAAGTCCCAATTTGGAGAGAAGCAGTGGGTCCTTGTAGTGTGGGTGGGGCTGTGAAGAATTTGGGGGATGCCAGGTTGAGTCCGCAACGATGGGGTTGTGGGTTCAGTCTGGTGTCTGGGCTTATTTAGGGGTGACTGTGAGTGGGGCTCTGGAGAGACAGCTTAGACATCTTTGGGTTTGAGGTTTTTCTAGATAGTGTGTGTGGGGGGAGGTGTTAAGATAAGGCTAAGAGGGTGTGTCTGTTTCGGGTGCCTGGGATCTGTTGAGTTGCTACAGAAAGGATCAGTCTGCTGTAGGGAGACCGGGGCTCAGGCAGGGCTGAGCTCAAGCTGTGTCTGGTTAGGGTCAAAATGTATTGCTTCTGGTTGAAGGGTTCTTTCCAGGCTTGTCGGGAGCCCTCCCTCGGGAACCCTCAGGGACAATGACTTGGGTCTATTTGGTAGCAAGGAACACTGAGTCTGGGCCCCGTATGCCCTTTGTATGAGGCTGGGGTCTCATAACGGAGAGTCTGGATTCACAGAAGCTCCCTGGATAGGTTGCAGGGGTCCTTACGCCCTCCAATATCGTGTGCAAAATTGTTAGGGGTGCACCATACACAAAGGAATATGGATTTTTCTTTGAAGAGAAGATCCATAGGCTTTAGGGCATTCTTAAAAGGGTGGGTCTGTGCTCCCCTTTTCAGCAGGTTTAATGCTCCCAAAGCTTCCTCTAAGGTCTTCAGTCCCTTTGCCTTTTGGTTCCCCGCCCCCCATCACATTTGCAAGTCCAAAAAGAGGGCTGGTGTGTGAAGGGTGTGCATGGAGGATATGTTTTACCCGTGTGCTGCCATGTAGTAAAAAGGAAGTAGGGTGTGTATGAATCCGTGTGTGTGCACGCTGGTGCCTCAGCATGTCTGTGGGATGAGATGGGGTTAATCCCCTCCCCCAGTTTCTCCTAGCTACAATGCCTCCTTCTACATCTTTCTGTCTCCTCCCCTTCCAGAAGGCTCTTGGGGACAAATGTCCCTCCATAGATAGAGAACTGGTTCCTTCCAGTACAGAGGCTGCCAGGGTGGGGGCAGGGTAAGGGTGAGAGACAAGGCCAGTGGTGACACAATGGAGCAGAAGCTGCCGAGAATGTCTCCCCCGCCTCCACTGGAACTCCTACTAAAGAGACCCCTTCACCCAGTGATTGGACCCCAGGAAGGGGAAAAGGTGATGGGACATAGGTGGTGTAGGTAGGTAGGTGGCCAAGCTGGGGTGGGCTTAACTGCTTGGCTGCTTTAACCTCCCAGTTCTCTCAGAGCCCAGCTTGGGAACTCCCAAACCCCTTCTCTTCTACTGACCCCCCCACCCCGCGTTGGAGGGACGTTCCCTAAAATTCTCTCCTCTCTGGGCATGATGCTGATGGGGCACTTTTCTTATCCCCTCCTTAATCTTATCTGCCGTGTTCCCAGGCAGATAAACTCCGCCTTCGGCCCAGGATGGAGTTGAGGGCAGCCCCTGGCACACTAGCTTCGCAGCCAAAACTCAGCCAAGTCAACAAATAAGTAGAGTGGCATATTCTCAAGCCTGAACATGGTAGTTAGAAATTCTCCTGCTCTCCAGGAACTCGGGGCTCGGTGTCACTGTTCCTATTTCGATTCTCGTTGGCAGTCTCTGAGCAAGGCCCTAGCCTTGTCCCTTTGGTTGGAGAAGCCAGTATTCTGGGGAGGGGCCAAGCAGAGACTGGGATTCACACCACAGCCCGTTTTTGTCTTGACTGATTTCTCCTGGCCCTGGGAAGAAGACGGCGCCTCTTCTGGGGTACGGTCTCTGTGCCGGGGGTAGCCTCCTCTGGGAACCGCCGGGCTGTGGGGGTTCTGGTCAGACCTTCAGGCCTGAGGCGGGAGGAAAGGCAAGACGACCCCTTAGGGCTCTGTAGCATCATGTGAACTGGCCTGCGATGCCACAGGAAGTGCCCCCAGCCCATTACCTCGGTGGAAACCGGCAGTTAATGAAGCCCCGAAGGGGGCCCAGAAGGCGTCAGCCTCCCCCACATTCCCCACCTCCTCTGCCCGCGGGACCCTCCTTGCCGAGGTAACAAGGGCGTAAGCGTCGCTCGTCCTGCTCCCATCACCCCATCCTGCCAACTTTGGGGGTATCGCCTGTGGCTGGGCCAGAGGGCACATCAGGGATGAGCTTGGCCCTTGCGCCCCTGAGAGGGTTTTGCTCCTTCCCTTTATCCAGTGTCTCCCAAACCTGCCTATTCTTAAGGGCCACCGAGGGTGCTTGTTAAAAGTACAGATGCCTGGAACCCAGCCCAACGCTTATGGAATTAGACGCTGCAGGGCTGGGGACAGGGAATGTGTGTGTTCTTTTTAAGTAAACTCTATGCTCAAACTCATGACCCCGAGATCAAGAGTCGTGTATGCTCTACCTACCATCTGAGCCAGCCAGGCGCCCCAGGAATGCGTATTTTTAACAATAAACTGGGAATTCTTGATTTAGATCAGTTTGGGGATGGTTGCCTTTGTGCACTAGTTGTGCTCCTGAACAGATAAACGCTGCCTGCCTGTTTTTGCCACGGGACTTCGTGTCCTGCTCATTCATTCGATCACTTCAGAATAGTTTTCTGCTGACTTTTCATGAGTTCTTCTTTAGCTGCTGGTGGCTTCTGATTCTTAAACCCCTCTGTCCCATCCCTCTGTCAAGAAGGCAATTATCTATAAATGTGTATTTTTTTTTTTAAGATTTTGTTTATTTCTTTGACAGAGAGAGACACAGCTAGAGAGGGAACACAAGCCGGGGGAGTGGGGGAGGGAGAGGCAGGCTTCCCGCCGAGCAGGGAGCCCGATGCGGGGCTCGATCCCAGGACCCTGGGATCATGACCCGAGAACGACTGAGCCACCCAGGCGCCCCTATAAATGTGTATTTTAAAGCACTTGGCACCTCTGATATTCAAAGCAAGTTGATGAAGAATCCTGCCAAGCAATTGATCACAGCCCAAAGTTATTTCTTGTGATGTGTGCTTTCTCTGGAGGGAGAACCTGCCTCTATAGTTACCCTGTGTAGGGTCACAGGGAAGCCCCCAGGGAGAAGGAAGAGCTGGTTGGGTAGGATCCTTTCCACTCTTGCTCCCAAGTCCACCAAGAGGACACCCACCAGCCTGAGGACAGGGTCATTGTATGTTTATTACTTAGTCAACAAATAAAGCACTTGAGTATCTATTCTTAGCCAGACCCTGTTTCCCCTCCCTGGGGAATCATCAAGACAGATAAAGCCCCTGCCCTCAGGGAGCTTAAATTTCCCGAAGAGAAGGTAGAGGGTAGACAACAAACACAGAAACGTAAGTAAATTAAGAAGATGGCGTAAATAAATTAAGAAGAGGCATCCAGGTAGCGTACATGCTAGGGCAAAAATAAACATGGGTTGTGATAGGAGCCAGGATGGACCACTTTTGGTGTGGGTGGTCAGAGAAGGCATCTGAGGAAGTGACGAAGTGAGCTAAGACTTCAGTGGCCAGAATAAAACAGGCAGACAAAGGTCTGGAAAAGAGGAATCAAGAGCTCTGGAGAGGAAAGGCAGGTGGGAGAGGTAAGCAGGCCAGACCATGTGGGGCCTCAGGGGGCTGGCCAAGAGGAAGAGTTTGGGGTTGGAGCTTTTAAGCAAGGAGAGAAGGGATTGGACTTCTCTTGCAGAGAGACCACTCTTGACAGCTGTGTGGAGAACCACCTGCTGTAGGAGGTGAGCATGGAAGTGAGGGAGTTCCAACAGAGGCTCTGGCTGAAATCCCAGGGAGAAACGGTGGAGCCTCTGCTGATGGGGAAGCCGTGGAGGCTGGGGTGTGTGTTCGGGCAGAGCTAGGCGTGAAGCTGTTCCCCAGCCTTGTGTCCTCCCTTACCAGCTTTTCTCAACTCCGGTCGTTTTATCCAGCAGTTTCCCCATTGTCCACTCTAAGAGCAGTCTCCTCGTCTTCCACCCCCTCACCTTCAAGCCACTCTTTCTGGACTATCAGGAAGTTCTTGGTGTCTACCCTTCCCCTTCCTGCTTTGGTGTATTCTGGAGAGAGGGGCAAAAGTGGTCAAAGATTCTGGGGTCAGGGGTGGTCCTCAGCCATATGCCCACCTGAAGGAGTTGGAGGGGCCAGGGTAAGAAACTAGAAATCAGAGCCCGAAGGTCCAGGTTGGAGGCCATGGATGAACTGCTATGCTATCGAGGCCTCACTCCCAAACCCAGCTCCGCCCCCGCTGACACCCTGGGAGCGCTTCTCAGACCTTCCCCTCTCTCCTAGCTACACGCTGAAGACACGAGGCACGGTGACCTGCCCATGCCCCCAGCCACTGCCTCTCCCACTGTCCTCCTATTCACCTCTCCTGAGCCACCCCCTTTTCTCCATCTTCTTTCCCAAGTTCTCGATTTCCAGGGTTCACCCAGCAGGTTGTGTAAAACACAGATTCCTGGGCCCAGCCCCGATTCAGAATCTCCCGCATGTTATTCTAGGTCCATAGGATGTCACTGTAATGCCTGCCCATCCCAGATGTGACTGCTGGGAGTCCGGAGAGGGAGCTTTGTGAACTCTGAGGGGCAGGGCTGCCTTCACTTCCGAAAAATGCAGGGAATAAAGACAAAGCATCTAGGAAAAGACGCTGGAATCTGCTCAGACAGGTTCTGGGAACTGGCAGCGGTGCCTCCAAGGTCTTAGTGGAGCCCAGAGATGGAGGGCACTAGGACCTGGGGTGGGGTTACTTTCAGTCCTCGGAAGGCTGTTTCCCCCTTCGGGCCAGTGCTAATCTGCAGGCCTGCCTTAATGGTGTCTCCTGGGGGCTGCCATCCAGGGGCCCCCACCCAGACTCACCTCTGACCTCTCTCTGCAGCCCAGGTACCTGACAGTGATGAGCAGTTTGTTCCTGATTTCCATTCTGAAAACTGTGAGTGGAGGGCCCTGGGTTGAGGGAATGGGGAGTGGGGCAGGGCAGGAAATGAGTCACAGGGGTAGAGAATCACAAAAGATCAACTTGTTCTCTCCTAAGGAAAAGGGGGAAGAACGGGGCTCCCCATTCTTGGGTTTGGACACCAAGACCAAGGCAGTAACTGGGAGCTGGAGACCTTGGTTCAAATCAGGGTTTGTGCCCTGCGAGTGGACACTTCGTCCCTCTGCTCCCCTCCCCCATTCCCTGATTTCTGAAATGAGGGGCTTGGACCAGTTCAGCGGAGCCCAGTTCTACCCTTCTAAGTTTCTTTCATCCAAGTGGGGGGCAACTTTACCCACCCCCCGCCCAGGAGACATGTGGCAACGTCTGTAGACGCTTTTTGGTGGTCACAACTGAGGGTGGAGTGCTACAGGCATTTAATGGGTAGAGGCCGGAGATGCTGCAAACACCCTATAATGCTCAGGACAGCGCCCCCCCCCCCCCCCCCCCCCCCCCCCCCCCCCGCACAAGAAAAATGATCTGGCCCAGAGGTCCTCAGTGCACTGTTGAGAAACCCTGCTTTAATGTCAGATACTCCATTCTCAACTGTCTTCACTCACCGTTGAAATGAACTAAGGCACAAATAAAGGAAAACAGCCGATAACAGAACAGTCCACTGGCGTTGGGCTCAACGCCGTGAGACAGAACCTCACACTCGCTCGGAACCAGTTCTGCGGCTCAGTCTGGTGGCTGGAGTTTGCGGACCCAGCAGGGCCCACAGGAAAGACCCATGTTCTTCACAGATAATTAGGAGCATGTGCTTAACGGTAGTCAGCTGACATGCAAGTGGGCGAATATCCAACCTGAACCAGAAAAAGAAAGATCCTTTATAGCACCAAAGAAGAAAACATGTCTCTCCCCTGGAATTTTCCAGGGCACTCAGGAAAACCACAGGCCCTATGTTGGAGGTGCTCACTCCTACAAAGGTGTTTTTGGGGGTTTGGGGTTGCATTAAAAGTTGAATTTTAGACAGTCTCTCTGGTTGATATTGGACATTAGCCCGACGACGTATAAAACTAGACATAGTGTAAATAGCCAAACTGCCCTTAAAAGTGACCAGGAGTCTCCGAAAACTGAGCCCCAGGGAATCTCCCCGGCTGGTGCTCAAAGAGCAGAAGGTGTGGGGAGCTCTCCTTGCGTCCTCTGTGACCCTCTCTGGCCTCGGTCTGCCTCCTCCCACTCCTGCAGTAGCTTTCCACAGCCCCACCACCAGGATCAAGAAGGAGCCCCAGAGTCCCCGCGCAGAGCCGGCCCTGTCCTGCAGCAGGAAGCTGCCACTCCCCTATCACCATGGCGAGCAGTGCCTTTATTCCAGGTGAACCCCAGCCCAGCCCAGGGAAGGGGAGGAGGGGGGAGGAGGGAGGAGTAAAGGCAGCAATGGGATGCAAGTTAGACAACACAAAGGATTTCTGAGCCCCTGTAGGGGAGCCCCACGGCTCAGGATTTCCTCCCAGTGGTCAGGAGATGGCAGCAGGGGGCTCAAGGGGTGTGTGTTAGGGCCCAGGCAGAGCCTTTCCACTGGAGGAAGCCATTTTCCTGCCCAGCCCAGTTGCTGTGGGCTGGGGAGAGGCATTCTCAGGATTACACCCATTTTCAGGATTTACGAGAAGGGAGAGAAAGAGTTCACTTGGGGGCTCCCCCCCTCGCTCATGCCATTCCTTTCCCAGCATGCCCTGCTTTTCCTTCTCTGGGGATAAAGGGTTCAAAGATGCTCGCCCAGCTTCTCTGCCCCCTCACCCCTGTCTCCCCCTCAACTCCAGTGCCTATGACCCCCCTAGACAAATCGCCATCAAGTCCCCTGCCCCCGGTGCCCCCGGACAGTCGCCCCTGCAGCCCTTCCCCCGGGCAGAACAACGGAGTTTCCTGAGATCCTCTGGCACCTCCCAGCCCCACCCTGGCCACGGGTACCTCGGGGAGCAGAGGTAAGGAGACAAGGAGGCCCACAGAACCTGTGGACCCAGGTCTCACCGGCTCTTCCTCAATCCCTGAGTGTTCTCCAGCTGCCCCTAAGAGACCTGGAGTGGGGGGAGGTGGGGAAGAAGGGACGTTGACACTCCCCCACCCCAGAGCCCAGTCTGCAAGCTCTGGGAGTGGCCCGCACAGGGGCCGCTTAAATTAATCTTCTCTTCCTTCTCCATCCAACCACATCCAGCTCTGTCTTCCAGCAGCCCTTGGATATTTGCCACTCCTTCACCTCCTCCCAAGGAGGGGGCCGGGAAGCCCTCCCCGCCCCCTACCCACACCAGCTGTCGGAGCCCTGCCCGCCCTACCCCCCGCAGAGCTTCAAGCAGGAATACCTGGACCCCCTGTATGAACAGGCAGGCCAGCCCACGGTGGGCCAGGGTGGAGTCAATGGGCACAGGTACCCAGGGGCGGGGGTGGTGATCAAACAGGAGCAGACGGACTTCGCCTACGACTCAGGTAAGAAATGCTCCTGGGGAAGGGGGTTGGAGGAGTTTTGCTGGGATTGCTGAGGAGGGTGGCATGTGATCCTAGGAACAGTTCCATGACACCCAGGAGGTCTCCCTACAGGTTTTGTTTTGTTTTGGTTTTTTTACCTTCCCAACCCACCCAACCACTCCCTTTTGGTCATAGATTCCCAAAAGAATTGTCATTTTTTCAGTCAGCACACTTCTACTCAGATAAAAGATAAGAGGGTGCAGCTCCTTGCCCTCAGGCAGCTCGTGGTTTAATAGGAAAGTTGAGGCATCTCTTCCTTTTCCTCTCTAGCAAGTGTTTGAGGTTACAGTTACCTACTGAGACCCAAGTGCTGGGCTGGGAGCATGAGTGGTGTGGAGCTGGAGGGCACAAAGATGAAGAGGATGTGTCATTGGTCCCCATCCCCATGGAAGCTTAAAAATATTAACAGACTTGAATGAAGAGAAAAAATGAACTTGAAAGGAGCGAGGCTCCTCGTTCCCAGCGGGAACGCAGGGTTACTGTTCCAGCCTCCAGGCTGATGGAGCTGGGTACGCAAGTAGGGCTGCTTTAAACTCTAGCTCCACCTGACCATTGACAAGAATGAGGGGCACTCAGCCAGATTCTTGGCCAGCTAGAATGCAAAGCCTCCGGTGCCAAGGGAGGGCCATTCTCATTTAGGAGGGACCCAGAAAACCTTGGCTTCTGTTACATTGTCACCATCCCCATATTTGAGTTTATCAGCAAATTCGTGTGAGAAAAATAAATACTGAGATTAGAGTAGGCTCAGGGCAGGCTAGATCTTTCGAATTTCCCACCTCCTGCTGTGCAGTGTTTTAGGGGGAGGGGGATGAACCACAAACCCCGCCGGGGGCTGCCCGAGTGAAACCACAAGGGTGCGCCTCTCCTCTAACGTGGGGCAAACGCTGAGCCGTGCCTGGCTGTGAGGTGGAGGAAGGAGGAGGGAAACGCTCTGGCTGCTGACCTTCAAAGGATGTAGACCGGAGGAGATCTTGTTACATGCCCTTGAACTCCTGCCCCTCCCCCTTGAGCTTCCTCTCAATGGAGTCAGGAATTTCATTCACAAAATGGAGGCATGAATGAGCCCACCCTCCCGCCTCCTCCCGGAGGTGTCGGGTTTCACCATCTCATTCATAGGTGGGAGTGCAGGGGGTAGGGCGAGAAGGGACTGGAACTTGAACGGGTGGCTTCACACAACCCGCCTCCTCCAGGTGGAGCAGGGCTATTTCAATCCTAGGGAATGGAAGGAAAAGGGCGTGAATGCGCTCTGCTGTCAGACCTGAAAAAACACGGCCCAGTGCCCACCGCCTCTTCCCCAGATCCAGATACCTTCTGGTGTGCTCTCTCGCTCTGCCTCCCACCTTCCCTCCCTACGGGTCTTCCCCCAACCCCCATCTTCCTCCGTTTCCTCCCTCCCTGCACTTGTGCGCTCACACACGCACACACACGCACACGCACACGAAGCTAGGAACCGGCTAGGAACCCGACCTGCTGACCGGAGGTTAACCCATTCCAAGGGAGTCTTAGGCATGGACACTGAACCCTTTCCCCGGAGGTTCATCCCTCCCCTCCCTCCTCCCCGCTGAACTCACAGGAAACAGCTGTTGCCTGGAATCCTGGGCCTTGTGCAACAGCTTTGCCCAGCCCAGCTGCTGCCGGCCATGCCCTCTGGCCCAGACTCCAAGCTGAGAGGTTCAGGCCTTGCACTCCCTCTGGGTGAACTTGCCTTGGGATTTGGTGGTTGGCAGGCAGTTGGGGAAAGAACTGGAATGCAGGCTGGCAGGAAGAAGTCCCTGAATATGGGCAGGACTGCCACCCGCCCTCCCCCCGCAGCCACCTGTAACATCACCCTTCCTTCCTCCCCTCCCAGATGTCCCTGGGTGTGCATCAATGTACCTTCACACAGAGGGTTTCTCTGGGCATTCTCCAGGTGACGGGACCATGGGTAAGACAGCCCCGTCCTCTCTGCCAAGCCCTCCACATTGGAGGGGGGAGTCCTGCTGTTGGGGGGGGTCTCCTGGCCAGGAGTCCCTCTGGATGCCAGGGTCTCATAGCAGTGAACCCCCCCAAGATCTGAATGACCCCCAACTTCCTCCTCAAGGTTATGGCTATGAGAAACCTCTGCGACCATTCCCAGATGATGTCTGCGTCGTTCCTGAGAAATTTGAAGGTCAGAGAAGTGACTTTCATGAGGGTCAGGATCTGAGCCATGTCCCCACCGCCCCCCCCCCCAGGAATCCCATTATTCCTGCAGAGAGGAGAACGGGTTGCTTGAGGGACCAGAAGGCACAAACCTGACACCTCCTGTTTTCTGTGTTCCCCAGGAGACATCAAGCAGGAAGGGGTTGGTGCATTCAGAGAGGGACCGCCCTACCAGCGCCGGGGGGCCTTGCAGCTGTGGCAGTTCCTGGTGGCCCTGCTGGATGACCCAACAAATGCCCACTTCATTGCCTGGACCGGCCGGGGGATGGAATTCAAACTAATAGAGCCTGAGGAGGTGGGCCTCTCAGATTCCGTACCTCTCCCCCCAATATCTTTGGGGCCTGGAGATAGGAGGACCTGGGAATGTGGCAGATGCCTCCCCATCAGAGTTGCCTTATCTGACCTGAATTCTTGTCAGGCCTGGGTCTGTGGGCTGCTGTGTAGTCTGCGGGGTCAGCTTACCATTTTCTACCAAGAATCTCAGGTGCTTTTTCTGACCCGTCCCCCCGCCTCCGCATTGTCTGACTGCTGAGCTAGCACCACCATCCCGAAACTCTGTCCTGTTCCCAGGTTGCCAGGCTCTGGGGCATCCAGAAGAACCGGCCAGCCATGAACTATGACAAACTGAGCCGCTCGCTCCGATACTACTATGAGAAAGGCATCATGCAGAAGGTGGGGGGGCCAGGGGCCCAGGGATGGGAGGGTGAGGGCCAGCAGCTATGGGAAGGTCACGGGGCCAGGGGAGTGTTTCCCAGCAAGTCTGTGGGAGCAGATTATGCCCCAGTCGGAGGGAATGAGAAACTGTGGACAAGACTTCCCTCTCCCCAAAAAGTGCCCCCCAGTAACTGAAAAGCCCGAAGTGTGGAGACATGGAGGTTGGAGAACAGGAAGTGTGCAGGGGAGCGGGCCTCTCGGAGGAACCAGCGCAGGAGAGAGAGGCGCCCCACGCGTCTGCCTGGACCGGCGCCCCCCTGCCCCCCGCCGACCTGGAGGGAGAGCTAGGCCCACCCAGCCCCTCTCTTCCCACAGGTGGCCGGCGAGCGCTACGTGTACAAGTTTGTGTGTGAGCCTGAGGCCCTGTTCTCTCTGGCCTTCCCGGACAATCAGCGTCCAGCCCTCAAGGCCGAGTTTGACCGGCCAGTCAGTGAGGAGGACACAGTCCCTTTGTCCCACTTGGACGAGAGCCCTGCCTACCTCCCGGAGCTAGCTGGCCCTACCCAGGCCTTTGGCCCCAAGGGCGGCTACACTTACTAGCCCTGGCCCCGGCGCCCCTGCCGCCCTGTGTACATATAGATGAATTGGGTGTTGGGGAAACCCTCACTCTGAAACCCACAGATATCTTTGGAGCAGATCCCCACTGGCCCATCAGTCGTCCCTGCCCAGACTCTGAGTTGCTCACCAGAGTTGATGGGAAGGAAGAATGGAGAACGCTGCAAGTGTAAAGGTGGGGTCTAGAAGCTCCTCTGGGGGCGTCACCTCCAGCCTCTTCCCTTAGAGGCCCAAGCTGCACTCCTCTCCCCCCACACAGAGAACAAGAGTTTGCTCTGTTCTGGGAGACACAGAAGGAGCGTTCCCACTTTGTCCTGGTGGAGAGGGGCACGTTGAGCTCCCCAGATCTCCCACTGTGGGCAGGCAGAAGCCTGGATCCTGCACTCCGCTCCGAGCTGTGGCCCGGGAGGGTCCTGCTTGTCCATTCTTGGTGCTCTGCGTTCCCAGAGGCAGGGGGAGGCTGGAGTAAGGAACCTGGGGTGGGGGGGGGGGGGGGGGGGGGGGGGGGGGGGGCGGGGGGTCCGGGGTGTCGGGGGCCGGGGGGGGGGGGGGAGGGCTGGGTTTCCTGCTTCTAGGGCCCTTTGCCTCTTCTCTGCCTTTTCCTAGGCCCAGGCCTGGGAGTCCACCTCTAACCTCCGACCTCCACCACATCTGCCAGACCCCAATAAAGGCCCCTGCTTCCCGTTAGTTGTCCCGTGTCCTCTTTGCCGCGATGGGAGAAGGAAGGACCTGGGGTTGGAAAGAGCTTTGGCCTTGGGGCAGACGACCAGGGTTTGGGGCCTGGCCTTGACACTTAGCTTCCCAGATGGATTTGGGTGAAGACAGTTGACCTCTGACTTTCCTCTGAAAAATGGGCTCAGTGATACCTGTTCTTCCCCCCTGTTCTATCCTCCTCCAGGATTATTGTGTCAGGATCCTGAAATAGTGATTGACAGGAACTTTATAACCTGGCCCGGTGCCCCCAGGCCAATGGCTACCAGCTGGGCAGGGGCCAGACAGGGCTGAGCTTGGAGGCCCTCCTGGGGCTTCCTCAGGCAGAGTTTGGCCTGTGGTTTAGGTGATGCTCTTCCCATGACCGCGCTACCCATGCATGTCTATACCCTAACTATGTGCGTGCGCCCCCCCCCCCCCCCTCTGCTGTGGCTCCAGGCTTCTGTTTTTGCTGAAGCTGGGGACAAGAGTTTACACAGAGAGGATCTGGAGAATGGAGAGAGAAGAAAGGCACCCAGGCAAGAGGGTGCAGGGAAAGCCCTGTGTTCTGATCAGTGAAGGCGAACGACCCTGGGTCTTCAGGGAAAGGGGAGTAGAAACACGGGCTCCTTCCACAGACTTAGGGGAGACTAGAACACTGAGGCCTGGGTGGGTGGATGGGAAAGGCAAAACTGAGGAAGTGGTAACACCTAGGGGAGGGAGTAGACCTGACAAGGGGTAACTGTCCAGGTGTGAGGGGAAGAATGGAAGGTTCTAGACCCAGGCTCTGGTTGAGAGTGCTCTCCAGTTAAACCAGAACTGCAGCCCTGCTAAGGCTGCGCCAGCCCAGCCCTCATTACGGCTTGAATAGCTTGGGTCCCCAGTCCCTGAGCCCTCAGAGGAACGGATGCCTGTCAACCACTACCCACAGGTAAAAAGCAACGTTACTGTTTTCCTAGAAACTGAAAACATCAACTTTGATCATTTAGAGCAAGGAACAGAACATTTTAAAATACAAGTTTTAAAAAATATACGTATTTTTTAAAAATACATAATTTCATTCCATGTTAAAGCCAGACTATCTCGGTGGGAAGCTGTAGAAGTCCATGGAAACCCTGAGGTCCTGAGTATTTGTAAAGGAGTGACAAGAGATTTGGATGAGAAATGGTATCCACCGCCTGAGATCTGTGACCTCTACCCTCTGAAGTGTTTATTAACACACTACTCCTCACAGCTCTTTGTTCAAATCCTTAACCTTGGAGGGCCAGTACCCAGGAGGCAATCAGGCTCCGGCCTGGATGAAGGTGAACCCTAGACCGAGGAGTAGAGTTTACATGAGCAGCACCGGGATGGTCCCCCCCCCACCCCGCCCCCGCCCCATACACAAGCACACACTCAGCACATGCACAGGGGCAGGAAACTCCTGAGCTAGGCTCCTGCAGGGGTGGGGTGAATGGCCTAGAAGATTCCAGCTCCCTGCAGGAGACCCACATCCTCTCCTGGGCTGTCACTCAATCTCTGGGAAATACTGTTTCAGGGAAGAGAAACAAGGGCCCCATTGTGTGGGAGCAGCAGACAAGTGCTCCTTCCCAATCTGGCCCCTTTCTCCCTCTGAGCAGGCTCAACAATGCTGCCTCCATGCTGTTTCCTGATGGACAGTCTGAAGGTCAGACCCCTAGCCATACTGACAGCAGAGAAGTGACCCCAGCTCTTGGGGTAGATGTTCAAGGAACATCCACAGAGCTAGGGTCCTTTTTGCTCACGTAACCCACAAAAGATGACTAGCCCGGCTGTCTCTCACCTTGGCCTGTTAAACACGTCCTTCTCAACCTCAGCTAAAATACCAAACCTCCCCACCCTCCCCCCAGGGCCTTAAGGATCTCCTAGGTGCCCATGCCTCCCAGGCCTGGTCACTTAGTGCGGCAGGCGGCTGCCAAGCCTGGAGTCTGCTCCTGAGCTGGAGACTGGGGAACTGGGTGCCCAGCCCCTGCTTCACGTTCGGTTTCCTCTGTAGGCCCCTGCCTGTCTCTCCCTGTAAGGCCTTAAAGGTAAACACACAAAGATCCCCTGCCCATAATTACTGGCCTGGGCTTCCTGAAGAGCACTCGAACAAAATCAGCTCAAGGACAGGGCAGGGACTTCCAGTAGCAGATGCCCTGGCCTCTTTTCTGGTATTCTTTTCTGCTGCATCCTCTCTGAACTGTCTTTAGGGTGGTCAGTTTGCTAACCAAAGACAGCCTATATTCTTTTACATTCTAGAACATCCTAGAGTCTCAGCATCTGGTGTACAACTCAGTAGTTGTAGTACTTACATCATTTCAGAACTTACTAGAATAAGGATGGGGGAGGCAGTACAGGCCATAATATCCCATGCGCCCAGTCCCCCAGGGGCTTCTCTACCAGCTCCACACCTAGACCCGCTTTCCAGAAGCCCCACTGCCTGGCCTGGCAGCATCTGTCTGATCTTCTTCCCAGTCGAGAGCTTCCTCAGGCACCGTGAGAGGGGCACCGGGAGGTGGCCATTCCCCAGGCAAATGCTACGAGAAACTCACTCAGCAACAGCAGTACAAACTGGCTCTGAGAGGGGTTCTGTGGGTTTTGTTTGTGGTGGGGGACGAGAGGCTTTGACCAGAAAAAGCCTTTGTTAAAGCCCATCGAGGACCCCAGGGGGAAAAAAATAAAAGCTGTGACGTCGCCTGCATGTTTCAAAAGGAGAAAGGACGCACCACCCCCTGGGTGGCGTGCAGAGGAGGTAGCCCGGGAGAGCATTCTGTATTCAGTGTGCTGCATCTGACCACTGAGGCGCCCAGACCAGGGCAGTGGATGCGGTTAATCACGGGGCTGTGTGGCAGAGCCGGTCTTGCGCGGGTATCAAGAGATGGGACTGCAGGCCTGGGTGATGCGTCACCTCTGAGCCCCACGAGGCCCAGAGCTCTGGTTACAGGTGACTCTCCATCACGTGCGCCAACGCCACCCATCTCCCCACCCTGAGCCCGGGCCAATATCCTAACCTTCCAGCTAGAAGAAACGGCCACAGAAAACCATTTATGTTTCCTTAAGAAAATAAATATTTCTAGGAGATTGAGCAGGACGGGGGCTGGACAGGGGCGGGAAGTGGGGCCAACACTGGCAGTGAGCTTCGTGGCTCCCTCCTCCAGAGTCCCAGCTAGGGCATCAGGCCCTCACTGCGCCTGGGGGTCAGATGCTCGAGACTCCCCTTCCCATCCTAGGACGACAGGAGTTGCCCATTTCATGGAGACGATGCCCTGTACTCCCTCGTCGGCCGTGAGCCACACCCCCGGCCACCGTGCCTTGAGGTGGTAGGGGCTGGAGGCTCTGGTCAAACCAGGCAGAAATCTCTGTTTCTATTTTACCACAGGGAAGAAGTAAGAGTCAAGTTTAGAAAAGGCCCAGGGAAGACAGTCACTGGACAGCCGTACCCTCAGGACGAGCTTTCCCCCACGAGAGTGAGTCCCCGCCCTGGGCCACGGCCGCACAACGGACGGGGGGTCCCGGCTCTCAGCGCCGGCGGAAGGCCCGGGATATTCTCCAGGCGTTGGGCTCCTCGTAGCGATTGTACAAGGGTTCGAGGCGCTGCTGCTTCTTCTGCTTGCTCAGCTTGGTCGGGTCGGAGACCTTGAAGAAGGCCGGGGCAAACTCCACAAGCCACCGGGGGTCGATAGTGGTGACCTCACGCATGTACTCTTTCGTGGTCAGCACCAGCTCGTGGTACACCACCCTGAGCGGGGGACAGAAAGGCGGCTGCAGCCTCCCGTGCAGGCCCCACTCCACGGTCCCCATGGCCCCCTGGCGGCCCTCAGCTGAGCTCGCACTTTACCCCCATACCTCCCCTGTGGGGCCCCTCAGGAGGCTGCAGTCTCTGTCTACGACAGCCTCGCTCCAACGCCAAGGAGCTGCCTGCCTCTAACTGTGAGAAAGCTGTCAGGATGTGTTCTAGTGCTGGCTCTCACGAGTCCTGGCTCTCACGAGTCCTGGCTCTTAACTAGTTAAGTGACACGAAGCCAATCACACCCCTTCTCTGGACCTGGATTTCCTGCTCTGTGGGATGGGAGGGTGGTTTTTCAGGCCGTCTCCACAGAACTCTGGGGCCCTGGAGAGGCGCCCCGGGGGCTGCCCCAGGGGCTGGGGCAGGCCAAGCAGCAAGGTTCTCCTCTCCAACCCCTCCTAGCATGACACCACCATGGTTTTACCGCAGTTTGACGTTAGGGTGCATAAAATTCTAAGTACTACTTAAAAAAAATTTGTTTAAACCGTCTCACTAGACGATCTCTAGATCCTCCTAGGCTCTCACTCCTGTGATCTTATTTCTCTCGAACGGGCCTGACACTGCACCTACGTCAGGCTTCTGCCGCTCTAGAACGGAAGCGGTGTTAGAGGAGATAGTGATGGGCTGGGCGAAGACCTGAACGCAAAGTGCTGGGACGGCTGCAGGTCCTTTCTGCCCACGCCGGCCCCCGGCCCCGCGTCCTGCCCACCTACCATTCGGGCTGTCTGTTGAAGAGAGCGCTGGAAGGGTGGATGTAGACCACCTGCTGGTCGATCAGCGTCCGGTAGCCCTCCTGCGGGTCTTTCTTGGCAGCGTTCCGGAAGAATCCACTGCAGATGGCCTTCTGCACTCGCACCGTGGACTTGCCACAGGAGACCACGTCCAGCTTGTGTCTAGCAGGAGAAGAGATCAAGAGAGGATAAAGATGTGAGACTACTCTGCAATCAGAGGCTCTATCTTCCGGAATGATGGTGCCCAACACCCCCACCTTGGGTCCCCAGAGTCCAGCCCTACGTGCACCACAGGGGCAGCTCTACAGTGGGCAAGACGGATGCAGAAAGAGCCAGACATTTTATTCCATTCAACCTATAATGTTCCAGATGCTTATAAACAAAGCATTTGTCAATTACTCAGAAGTAACCTTCTTAGGAACTTTCTGAAGTGATTCTCAGCTGTAGCCTTGCCTGGGGATGGGTACAACAAAGATGGAAGAGCTGGAGGAAAAGGCGTATGTGAGGAGCCTTTAACTTCTCAGGTGCACAGAGAGACAGAGAGACGAACAGACAGGAGAGTCAAGCAGGCTCCACTCAGACACGGGACAAGTCGCCGGACGTCACCTGTCCATTATGCCTAACATCTGCTTGCGAATATCCTGGGCCCGGCGCAGGGAGCGAGCCTGGATAAAGTTCTCATAGCACCACGGGTTGGAGAACTTGTTGTTCTTCCAGGAGTTGTACACGGCCAGCAGGGTGAGGTGGTCCCCTTCGGTCTGGTGGAACTTGGCTTTCTTCTGGTCTGCGAGGGCTTGTTTATCCTGCCAAGAGGTGGGGCGGAGGGTCATTTTCTGTCCAACAGCTACTAAGTGAGCACTTAGCAGTTGCAGAGAGTCCTACCAGGCCCTGTCGAGTGTCCACATGAAGCACTGCGGGTGGCAAAAGGCTGATGTAACCCAACGTCACCACACCCTGTACCTGAACGTGAGCCTGACCTCCCTACCTTGGGCCTGTAGAAGACGTTCTGCACTGACAGCATGGACACAATGGTCAGCATCTCCTCGCTGCAGCCCAGATGCACGGACATGATCAGCATTTTGCACAGCATCGGCTCCAGAGGGAATTCTGCCATCTAGAGGGAGAAGCAGGGACTACAGTTGCTGCCCTTCGGAAGACGCCACCGTACGGACCAGCGGCAGCCACTGCACGGTCCGTGTGGGTACCAGCCCACAGGACCTTTACCCCTGCATGATGATGCGAGTTGCTGGTCTCCATCAGAACAATGCTGTTTTTTAATTTCCCAAATAAACCTCAACGAAATGCATGTGACCAAGAACATAACTACTATTGGGGTAGACGGGAATTTTGCAGACATCTTTCAAAATCAAGGCTAGACTCAGTCATGGATCCTGAAGTAAAACTGACTTTGGACAGAATTGCTTTTTCTGTAAAGAAATAATTTTAACGGATAGGGGAAAATCCAGTTTAAAAACAGGCATCTAGAATTCTACTCAAAGTTGATCGAGGGCCTCAGAGTTTGATTTTGCACAGAACAAAGAGTACGGAAGGCTGGCCAGGGACTCTCCCCAAGAGCACCGGAAGTTCAGTCTGGCTCCTACCCTGCGGCCCAGGCGAGTGAGCAGGCCCTCATCATCCAAGGCCCCCAGGGTGTATAGCTGCTCCATGGCTGTGATCAAGGTTTCCATTGGAGGCGCATCCATGAAGTCAAAGGACAGCAGGTCATTGATGCCCATGGCCTAGAAGAGAAGGGAAAGAACTGTGTGATGGGAAGGTGAGGCCTGCCAGCGTTAACGGGGAGGGACAGTCCTTGTACACTTCTTTCCTGTTTCTTCTACTGCAGGTAGGAAGTCATCCGCAAGCTTAGCAGTCACCTCCAGGGCTGGGCCACACAAAACACTCAGACTAGTAGAAAGCATATACTTTCTTGGGAAACTTTAAAAACTGCTCCTTCAGAGTAAATGTAAATACAACTCAACACCAAAAAGATGACAATTTAAATATGGGCAAAGCGGGGGGGGCGCGCCTGGTTGGTTCAGTCGGAAGAACCTGCAACTCTTGATCTCGGGGTTGTGAGTTCGAGCCCCACACCGGGTGTGGAGATTACTTAAATAAATGAATAAATCTTAATAAATAAATAAATAAATAAATACGAGTAAATAAAAATGGGCAAAGGATTTGAAAAGACATTTCTCCAAAGAGGTTATAAAAATGGCCAAAAAGCACATGAAAATATGCTCAACAGAACTGGTAATTAGGGAAATGCAAATCAAAAGCACAATGAGATACCACTTCATACCCGCCAGGATGGCTATATTAAGGAAAAGAACAGAACCAGGGTTGGCAAGAATGTGGAGAAATAAGGACCCTCATGCGTTGCCAGCGGCAACGTAAACCAGTGATTTCTCGGTAAGTTGAACATACAATCACCATATGATCCAGCAATTCCACGTCTAGATATGCCCAAAAGAAATGAAAGGAGGGACACAAACAGATACTTGTACACTAATTTTCATAGCAGCCTTATTCACAATAGCCAAAAAGGCAGAAACCACCCAAATATCCACCAACAGATGAAGGGACAGACAAAACACAGTGTTAGGTACGCCACGAGTATTATTCACCCTTAAAAAGGGATGAAATTCTAACACATGCTATAGCACAATGAACCATGAAAACACGACGCAGAGCAAAAGAGGCCAGACACAAAAGGACAAATACTGCAGGATTCCATTTACATGGAAATTCAGTTCACAGAGACCAGGAAGTGGACTAATGGTCACCAGGGGCTGGAGGAGGGGAGGAGGGATGGTTCAGTGTAACAGGGACAGAGTTTCTGTTTGGAATGATGACAAAGTTCCAGAAATGGATGGTGGTGATGGCTGCATACCCTGGGAAAGTACTTAATGCCGCTGAACTGTACATCTTAAAAAGCTTACAAGGGATAGTATGTCGTGTATTTTACCAAAATTTTTTTTAAAAAGGACAACACACCAGCTTGTCCTGTCTCTTGCATACAAAATTTCTACTGTGCATAGAGGAAGTGCCTCGTGTCAGGTGCCAGGGATATGAAGATGACCAAGATAGGGCCCTGGCCCTCGGAGGGTTCACGACGGGGAGACACACGGACAAGAAACTGCAGTAACGCAGTGGAATCTGCGTGCTGGGCCAAGAGTCGGCATTTGATGTGTTTGTCAGCTAATTTGATGAATCAAAGAAACAGATGAGTGATGCACTATCCAAGTGTGTACAAGGGGGGTGTGGTGGGACCTAAGCCTTCTGTTTCTTTTCCCTAAAGTGACTGTGACCATAAACACAGCAGGTGTCCAATAACTGCTTATTGTATGAATAATAACTACAAGGAATTATGTTAGCAATCAGCAAGCACTGTGCCAAGGGCCTTTACCTGTATTATCTCATTTATTTTCACAACAGATACTGTTACTAGCCCACTTCTAAGAAGGAGAATATAGAACAGAAGGCTGAGCAGATAAATTTGCCGAGGACACAGAGCTCGGAGCCAAAGTTTGAGCCACAGATGCCTCTCCGTTCTCACTCCAGAGACTGGAGCAGGGTTTTCTGGTCTGAGCTCTGTTTCAGCCCCTCTTACAGTGGATGAATAATACATTCCAACAGAGCACTCTGCACCAGCAGAGTGCCAGTGCCCCAGGGCAGCACCAGCATCAGGGGTGGGGATTTCATCAGCTGGGAAATTATTCATGCAGCCCCCCCTGCCAAAAGAGAATGAGGGTCCTCACTGGGGACCGAGAGAGGAAGAGCAATGATTCAGAATGAAAACCCAGCCCCAAGAGGGTCAGTCTGAAACCTGTACTGATAGTCTCCTTGCAAAGTTTTTGGACTGGGAGTTTCGCTTCCATTCTCAAAGAGGAGAACTGGATCGGGGTTGAAGGAAGTGTGCCTGTCCACGGTTTGGCACTCATTAGATTTTTCTAATATCCTTTGCTCCTAACTAAACTCTTTTATAACCAAATACCCTGCTGGTTATGAGGGTAAGAAACAAATGTGTGCTCACAGCAGACATGCCAACTTAGCCCCAGACCCGCGGTGGAGAGGCTGTTACCACAGCCATTTGCATTCCATTCAAAGGGACTGGTTCCACGAGGTTACTAAAGTATTTAACAAGGTTCATAAAACTGACGTTCATTTACTATGGACATACGATTGGACTGTTCCACCAGCCCATTCTAACAAGACAGTGATTTCTACCTTGAGCGAGAGCACTGTGCTTGCTAGGTTGGTCCTCTGGATTTCCGGCACGTTGGTGGTCAGCATTTCATCTCGGTAGGCACGTTCGGTGTACAGCCTGTAACACTTCCCTGGGCCTGTTCTCCCGGCTCTGCCAGCTCGTTGCTTTGCCTGAGCCTAGAGGGGTGGGCATATAAAAGTAACATATCTGTTAAACACTGCTCAACAGCTTTGCCCAGGAAATCGACTAAAAGGGGGGTACTGGGCAGCTGGCAAAACCTGAAATGAGGTTTATTTCACTTACTTTAGGACCATTTCCAAGACTATCAGTGCTCTCACCATCCCCTCAGCATTTCAGGAAAGTTTGTTCAAGTGAGGCAAATATTAGCACCGTGAATGGAAGAAAGATTGTAAAGATCGTAGAAATGCACATTCAAAATAGTGTGGCACAATATAAAAGAAAAAAGCATAACGCAATATGAAAAATACCATCCCCACAGTCGTGACCAAAAATGTAAGTGAACTAAAGAAATGATATGTTAGGGGCGCCCGGGTGACTCAGTCATTAAGCGTCTGCCTTCGGCTCAGGTCATGGTCACAGGGTCCTGGGATCGAGCCCCGCATCGGGCTCCCTGCTCGGCGGGAAGCCTGCTTCTCCCTCTCCCACTCCCCCTGCTTGTGTTCCCTCTCTCGCTGTGTCTCTCTCTGTCAAATAAATAAATAAAATCTTTAAAAAAAGAAATGATATGTTAATCACATCAGCGATGACTCTGCAGCTTGTGTGTGTGTGTGTGTGTGTAAGTAGGCTCCATTTACAAAAGAATCATGAGCTCCACTTACTTCATGGCCCAGCATGGAGCCTAACGCAGGGACTAAATTCACGACCCTGAGACCAAGACCTGACCGGAGACCAAGAGCGGGACATTAACCAAATGAGCCACCCAGGTGCCCCTCCCAAATCAGGCTTGAGACTTTCAATAACAGAAGGAAATGTTCATGCACACAGGTGAAAAAGCAAGTTACAGAACAATACTAATTTTGTAAACAAAACAAAAAACTACCAGAAGGAAAAACTAGGACAAAATGCCCTAAAACTGTGGCTAACTCTCATGGTAGGCTTGCAGATCAGTTCTATTGACTTTTATCAAAGATCTGATGTTGAACATTATTAGACCATAATAATCAAGAAAATTAAATATTTAAACAAAAAATACACAAAACCACACACTTAGTAGACTACTAGATTGCAAACAAGAAAGAAACAAACAATAGAAGATGGGCAGGAAAAGCATCAAAATGATGACAGGGGTGGTAGGAGAATTACGAGCAATTTAAAATTTTTTCTCCTCTTTCCCCAAAATAATGTAATACTTCTCTGCGCTACTTAGGGGAGAGGGGAGCTAATTTTTAAAAAGTTTTTTTTTTTTTTTAATTAAGTAATCTCTACACCCAATGTGGGGCTCGAACTCACGACCCTGAGATCATGAGTCCCACGCTCTTCCAACTGAGCCAGCCAGGTGCCCTGAGGGCTAATTTTTAAATTAAAAAAATACGTTAGGTTTAGCCATAGGTTGCTAGGAAACAGTGAATGGAAATCTGAAAAGGGCCATTTGCTGACAAAACCATCTGTCTTACAAATGGCATCGGGATTTTACAAATTCCTATTCCAGCCCCAAACCAAAGGATAGATAGAGTATGCAAAGTCACTAAGCACACACAGGCAGGCTGCAATCACATACAGTGGCCGACTCCACGGCATTCTACGGATGTCTCTCTCCAAATGAGAGAGGACGGGTATAGCTCATTTCTCAATCACTGTGAGTTGCATGCACCAGCCCGAGAAATGGTACGGAGCGTACATGCAGGGGCCAGACCGCCCTGGTTCAAATCCTGGCTCCACCAGCTGTGTGACCTTAGGCAAGTCACTTCACCCCTCTGTGCCTCCTCATCCGTGCAATGAGGGTAAAAACAACATCCACCACCAGGGATGGATGTGAGAATGCAAGGAGTTCACGTGTGTGCAAGTACCTTGTGCCTGGCACTTAGTAAGCACTCTGCACGTGGTGGCTAGCATTACTAAAGGTTCAAAATGACAATAGCCTTCTGATTTTGATGGATTATGAAAGTCACACATCCCTCTCACAAAACATTAAGATAATATATAAAAGCATAAGGAGAAAAAATGCACTTCACCCCTCAGCACAGTAACCAGCAGGTCCACCAACAAATAACCCGACTACCAGGCCGACTACACGCCGTCTCGGGCGCGCACGCGCACACATGCACACACGCGTGCGCGCACACACACACACACACTGTACACGGCGCGCACCATTTATTTTTAAACAAAAGCTGGATTCTACACGCTATGTTTCAGATCACTTTTCTCGAATAACACACCATAATTATATGTCATTAAATATGGATGCACACCCCCATGTTAACGCCATACGACATTCTATGGCGAGGATATACCATATTTTATGAAATGACTTCCCTTTTGGAGTTCATTTAGAATTTTCCTAGGTTTCCTTTCATATAAATAACGCTTCAGTGAACACCCTTTTCCCTTACCTTCAGACGCATGCTTACTAAACTTTCAGATGTATTCCTGCAAGTGGAACCATTACATTCAAAAGATGAACTTTTAAATGTTGGACACCTTGTAGCCAAAATGCTCTCAAAAAGGCTGATCAGGTTATTCATTTTTAAATATAATTTGGGCAGGAAATTATTCCACAATTACCAAAGAAACAAATTAACATTTCATGAATTATTACTATCTCAAATGTCTATGGCTCAGTATTTCAAAAAAGAAAAAAAAGGAATAGCTCTTTAAAAAAAAAGAAAAAGAAAAACAAGCAAGTTCAAAATACAAAACCATAAAAAATTTAAAAGCCCTAATGAGGCTTTTCAGGACAGCTGTGGGTAAAAGCTGCCATACCTGAGAAATCGGAGTCACCACGAGCTGGTCGATGCCGGTCTTGGAATTGTAAACTTTCTGCTTCACAAACCCAGGGTCCACCACATAGTAGATGCCATCAATAGTCAGTGAGGTTTCTGCGATGTTGGTGGCAATCACGACCTGCAGACAAGAGGGACAGCGGCTCAGCCCCGAGGTGTGAATCAGGACATCTGACCTCAGACATTTTCCTGAAGGTCTGTGCCACCCTCTGCCTCTCCACATGATTGGATAGCACTTAATCTGTTGGGCCTCAAATGGGTGGAAGGGGCAGCACCTTCATCCTAAAGGTCAAGATGGGGACTGGGTGGTACCTGAGAGGAGAAGTGGAACAGGAAAAAGCAAAGGCCAATCAAAGCCAATTTCATTTGGTGCAAATGGCTACAGAGCTCATTTTCTAGATCCAATGTTGATTACTACAATTTTAATTTTCTTGCACCCTGGGAAAGCAGAGGTTTCCTGGCATCACATGTACCAGCGCAAAATGAGATTTTTCTTCCCCCATGGGGACATCTGGACTACAAAATGGGCTGTTGTGTATGTGGAACAAGAGAGAGATGCACGCTTTTTTTTTTTCTGATCATAAAATGAACGAGGCGGCAGAGGAATTTCACGGTTTGTGTGTATGCAGCAGTATGTGTGATCTAGAAGATTATTGGTCTCGGCTTGGCACTGCCACTGTTCTTCTACCCAGAGTTTCAGCTAATAAAACACAATCACTTGGAAAAATCATTGCGAGGAAGCACCAGAACATCCCGCCTTGTGCCAGCATCTCACTGGCCCTGAAAGACTTCCACCTGCCACAGAGCTGCAGAGCCCTCTTAAAAAGAAGTCCATGGGGCGCCTGCATGGCTCAGTCGGTTGAGTGTCTGCCTTCAGCTCAGGTCATGATCTCGGGGTCCTGGGATCAAGCCCCGCCTCAGGCCCCCCTGCTCCACGGGGAGTCTGCTTCTCCCTCTCACTCTGCCTCTGTGTGCTCTCTCAAATAAATAAAATCTTTAAAAAACATTAAAAAAAAAAAAAGAGAAGTCCAATCATCAGGAAGAGAACAGAGGAGGAATCGCCATCCTTCCCCTCCCCAAAGCTGTTCCTCCTCCATGTTTCCCTCCTCGGTACCCTCTTCCAACCAGCTGTCCAAGCCAGAAAACCGGGAGTCATTCCTGACTTCTCCCTGCCCTTCTCCCCTGCACCTCCAGGCACCCACTATGGCTCATCCATTCTAACGCTTCAGTGTTACTCGAATTCATCTGTCTTCCGTTCCTAGGTATGTACTCAAGAGAAATGAAAACATATGTCCGCAAAGAAACTTGTAAACAAATGCTCATAACGGCACTATGCATAAAAGCTAAAATGTGGAAACAACCCGAATACCCAACAACTGGTGAATGGAAAAACAAAAATGTGGTACATCCACATTCTGGATGTAGAATATCATTCTATGATAGGATACTGTGCGACAATAAAAAAAAAAAGAAGTACTGATATGTGCTACAATGTGGATGAAACTTAGAAACATGCTAAGTGAAAGAAACGAGCCACCAAGAACTGCAAATTATATTACTCCATTCATATGACTTGGAGTCTTATTCCATCCAGAATAAGCAAATCCAGAAATACAGAAAGTAGATTAGTGGTTTCCAGGGACTGAGCAGAGGGGTGAATGGGGGGGTGATTGTTAAGGGGTACCAGGTTTTGTTTGGAGGTCATGAAATTATTCTAAAATTAACTAGTGATTAATGGTTATGATTAATTACCATCAATAATGGCAATTAACGGTCAAATGATTCTGTGAATATACCAAAAGCCACCCAATTGTATGTTTTAAAGGGATGATTTGTACGGTATGTAAATTATATCTCAGTAAGGCTATTATTTAAAAAAACCCATCCGTCTCCTCTCCCACTGTCTCGTACGCACACCGACGCAGTGAGCTCCAGCTGCTAGAAGGACGCAGCCTCCTGAAACGGCCACACTCCCTTGTCCCGAGGCCATCACAGGCTGTCCTCTCAGAATGCTTGTCCTCCTGCCCTTCTTGCCTAGAGGAACAGCCACGTGCTCTTCAGGACGAGCTCAGATCCTTACTTCCTCTAAGAATTCTGAGCAAGGGGCTCCCCCCCTTGGGGGATCCACAGCCCCAGCAGCTCTTTCACGCCATACGTTCAAAGCCTGTCTACCAGTGGGTGCCCCACAGCAGAGAGGCCTGGCCTCATACTGCAGCCCTGGTGGGTACCCGGAAGCCTGGTAGATGCTCAGTATTTGTCCAATGGAGGAGCTGGGGCTACATACAAGATCCTTATTCCTTAACTGGTTGGACTGTTCTCTAAGACATAAAAAAACAAAGCTTGTGTGCACCTTAGGCAATCCCCGTTAGGGCCAGGTGCACACGCCGTGTGGTTCCAGAGCACATGGAAGCTTCATCCCTGCCCGCTGTTACCTTTCTGCTGCCAGGAGGAGCCGGGTCAAAGATTCGGGTCTGCATCTCACTGGGAAGAGCAGAGTACACTGGCAGGATGATCAGCTCTGGAACATCCGGTCCCAGGGATTTCATTCGTTCATAGAGGATCTCGCAAGCGGTATCAATCTCCTCTTGACCAGTCAGGAAGACCAGGATATCACCTAAGAAGAGAACACTGATGTCCTGTGTGTGTGCTCCATAGAAGGCCACAGTGACATGAAAAGAATGCCAAACGATGAAAGACACACTCCTATTCCGACCTCTAATAAATCAAGCGGTTTTCATCTGTCCGTTTTTATTTCGGTTTTTCATTTTTAGGGTGTTGTTTTTAATATTTTTTTAATTTTTAAAAATTTGTATCTATGTTTGTTTGTGTGTGTGTATCTATATTTAAATAGACGCATTTAAACCCTGCCACCGCTTCAAACATGCAAGACTTAGGCTTACAGAGAGACCGATACTTAAAAGGCATTTTTGAAAAGATGAGAGAAATCGACCTGCGTCAGGACTTCTGGCCTAAGAGGGGAAAATGCTCTTTCCTCCCACCTGGTGGTTCTGTTAAGTGGATCTGCATGACGGTGATCAAGCTGGCATCCAGATAATCCGTCTCAGGTTCCTTTGTGTACAGTATTTCCACTGGGTATGTTCGACCTGGGATGGTGAAGATGGGCGCTTCATAGAAGTACTGAGAAAACTTCACTGCATCCAGCGTGGCTGAGGTGACAATCAGCTTCATGTCCTGCCGTTTCTGTACCGTCTAAAAGGGAAACACAACGTGGATAAGAAGGACTAAAGCAAAAAGGCAGACTCAAATCCGATTCCCAGGACTCAGTCCCCAACAGTGGAAGGGTCACCAAAGAGCACCTAGTTACCTTCTTCAACAATCCGAAGAGCACGTCAGTGTGAATGGTTCTCTCGTGCGCCTCGTCCAACATGATGATTGCATACTGTGTGAGGTCAGGGTCAATCAGGCATTCTCGGAGCAACATCCCATCTGTCATGTACTTGATCACTGTCTCTGGGCTGGTGCAGTCCTCAAATCGAATGGTGTAGCCCACCTAAAGCAGAAGCGAAACTGAAAACCTCAGACACAAACCTCTCCTTTCTGCAATCACCAGGCAAGACTTCAGCCCAGTCAGAATGTTACCTGCAATCTTAACAGGTAAGAATTTGACCAAAATGTGCAGTGATTTCCTCAAGTAAAATATGCCTTGGACTTGAAAATAGATCAATGATGACAATGAGAACCCTCTCCCCCTCAGGAGAAACCTGAAGGAAGATAGTACCATTCCCATTTTAGAGAGAGAGATCTGGGCTTATATACTCTCTTCCGGCATTTCCAGAACAGCTTCATTACCCACTTACCTCTTGGCCCAAGCAACAACCAAACTCCTCTGACACTCTTTTGGCCACCGACATGGCTGCTACTCTTCTGGGCTGCGTACATCCAATCTTGCCCCGGGACGTGTAGCCTGCCTCGGCCAGGTACTGGGTGATCTGCGTTGTCTTCCCAGATCCTGTCTCTCCAATAACAATCAGGATTTGATTGTCATGGACAGCCTGAAAGCAGCAGTATAAATACAGTCATTAAAAATTTCCCACGCACTGGGGCGCCTGGGTGGCTCAGTCAGTTAAGTGTCTGCCTTCGGCTCAGGTCATGATCCCAGGGTCCTGGGATCGAGCCCTGCATCGGGCTCCCTGCTCAGCGGGAAGTCTGCTTCTCCCTCTCCCACTCCCCCTGCTTGTATTCCCTCTCTCGCTGTCTCTCTCTCTGTCAAATAAATAAAGAAAATCTTTAAAAAAAAATTCCCACACATTACTCTGGAAGAAAATAATTAATGCTTACATTCTAACACTAAAGAAGAAAAAGGGAACACAATTATAGACATATGGTAGGATTACAACCATAGTCTAAGTTATTTTTAATCATGCGTAGAAAGGGGCGCCTGGGTAGCTCAGC